TATAAGCATCAAGTCCTAATTAAATTCTAATTTAAGAATTGCAATGACTTAAATTCTATATAATTGTATATAATGAAGCATTTGAAGGTTATAATATAACAACAAGTTTTATCTCATTAGATGAAATTGGTCATGTGAATTGCACAATAATCACTGTAATCCATATCTGAATATATTATTAACTAGGAGATCTCTTTCACATAAAATAAATATTAGAAACCATCCATTTGAGAGTAATATAATGGAGTATAACACCAACAATGCCGTTAAACATACATGAGATGGAATCCCAATTTTTTTTTTTTTTTTTGTAGATTATGGATGTCACAATATATAGCAACGTAACATTCCATTTTTTAAATACTTTTTTAAAAATAAAAAAATTGTAGATTCACGCTGATTGATTTGATTTGGATAAATTACATATTTCGATCACAAACAATTGAGAGAATTACTCGAATAAAAATATCAAATATATTGGCGTTTGACATATATAATTGTAGACTATATTTGCCACAAGCAATGATGATAGAATATGGTCAGATGGAAAAAAAGTGATTTTCACTAATCACTATTCTATTCTTCTGTTTTTGGATCTAAACACGCACACAGAGTTGGATTATTTGGAATAATCATTACATTTAATAAGGGTGCATATACTTGGAAGCCAAACAAAACGAAATATTAATTTTCATATCAACACTAAGGCTGTTTCTAGGTTTTTCATATAGTTTTGCATAATGCTGTTGAACATGCAAACAAGAATAATCATGCAATTAATTAGCTAGTTATCAGTATCATAATATTAATAATTTTTCTTTATATGACAAATATGCATGCGATTCGCTAACTAAAATACGCATAAGAACTTAATTACGTATAAGATAGGTACCTTCGAAGTTTGGTCTGTCCCTTGTCTTGTGCTTATCTGTGCAATTACCAATCAATTTTTTTAAATAAAAATAATAATCCTTAAATTAAAATAAACATTTTTTCAGTGTGTGTTTATGTTTGTAGTGGTTGGCCAAAAAAAAAAAAGTTTGTAGTGAGACGTGTGAAAGAGACACGAACACATACACACAAATATTTTATGCTGCTAATGAGGCGATGCTGGTGGAGAGCTTTTGTTTGTCTTGATTTTTCTAATGGGGTCAATTAATTAACTTGCTTTAAGATTAATACTAATTCTATTATCTTCATTTTATTTGCCCTCTTTTTTGCTTTGTACTCTTATTTGTGATTAAGTTACTAATACGCGTACTTAAATTAATATGAAGTGGTCGGTGTTTTGTCTACCTTAATGATCAATGAAATTAACAACATTAATCAAACGATGCAGGGAAAAAAGGTTTCTTAAAATTTAAGTGTTGTGTGAAAAATAAAATGGAGCATAAAAAATCTCTCGCAAAAATTATAGTGATTATATTCTTGTGCATCTTAGACATATATATACATGTGAGATTCAACAGAATTTTATACTTCCTCCATTTAAAAATATAAGATATTTTTTGAGGGGTTGTATATTAAAAAATATGAGACATTTTTAACCTTTTAAAGTGTAATCATTACTTTTTTTAAAAAAATGCCCCTATTGAATAAAGTAGTTTATATTTATTTTAGAATAGAACACACTATTAAATAAGGGTAAATATAAAAAGATAGAGTTAGTTTGAAAACAAGTAACTATTTAATTGAAGGTGAGATTCAATTAAAAATACTTTATATTTTTAACAGAGAGAGTATTAATTATTGAGTGCTTAACACAATCCTCCTTTTTTATTTGAATTTGGGATTGGCAATAAAAAAGTTATAGAAAAAAGCATCAGAATTGATGGTTTTTTGTTGGAAAAATAGCAAGACAAAATATATGCATTGAAAATTTGATAAAAGACAAGTTATAGTGATTCGGAGGTTAGAATGGGATGTTCAATTACACCGCAAGTAATAAAGTTTAGATATTTGAGAATAATTATGCAAATTAATGGTGAAATTGATGGATTTTATATATAGAATACAAGTTGGCTGATTTAAATAAAAAAATCTTATAAGAATTGTTTATGATTAGAAATACTTCTTTTTTAATCAATGATCATAAATACTTAATAAACTTAAAAGTTATATAGTACCGCATGTTAGAATTTAAAAATATAAGAACTTAAAGTTTAGAAATTTAATTTTTCATAATAAATAATGGATAAAGGTGTAAATTTGGCCCTGAGGAGCGATTGGTAGCTTATATTATGGGTTGGAGCAAAATAAATTATAAATTACTCAAAATGGAGCACTTAGCACATTTTCGTCTGTGAGTAACTTCCATCTATTTTTAATGGTAGGGCCCGCATTGATGGTGTCATCATCTTCAACTCCCTTCGTGGCTTCGTCTCTCCCCTCCTCTCTCTCTCTCTCTCCCTCATTTGTCCTCTATGGCTTCCACAGACTGGAAATAGCATTATTAGCACCCATCATCATCATTGTCTTCATTTCTTCTTCATGGATTACATGACCTAGTAACTACAAGTCTACAACAACACTATAACTTCATGAAGCATGTGCAGGCTAGGCATCCTATTTGGAATATCATTAAGTGGCATCGAACTGTTAGTGCTAAAAGAAGATGAAGGGTGTGATTAATTGAATGAGAGAGAGGGAAGAGAGAGAGAGAGAGGGTAGAGCCTGGCGACGACGACCACCGAAGACATGCCTCCCTGAGTGGTCGACACATTAGTGTTGTTCCTCAGCTTTGTACTCACCACCACTTCCACAGGCATCTTGCCATGTTGCCTCCTTGTTTACTAACAATCTCATCATTAAACCATACATGATATCACTCATCTTGATCTTTTCCTCCTCCTCATGCATGCCTCATTGTAAGTTACCACTTTCTATGCTAGAGCTGCTATTCCACCCGGTGTTATGTCATTCCTTCCAGTAACCCTCATTTCCATCACTCATATCATTATCACATCGCTCTTCTCCACTAGCTTGTCGCCTATTATTTGGACCGTTGCATCTAGAGCTTCTCTAATGGTTAGTTTATTCTGTTTCCTCTAGCCACCATGCTTGACTATTCATGGCTCATCAATCTTCTCCAACAAAATTGGTTTGCAAATTAGATACAGATATTAAGAGGCAAGATGGATTGTTGTTCTAAGTGAATTTATGTGTGTTGAAACTGATTATTTTCCTCAATTCTCATCTGTATAGTTCTATGAAAGCCGGATGAATGAGAGAGAGAGAGAGAGGAGGTGGACAGAGATGAAGGGAGATGAAGAGGATGACATTATCAATGCAGGCCCACCATTAAAAATAGACAAATGCTACTCATTTGGATGGAAAGGTGTTGGGTGCTTCATTTTGAGTAGTTCATAATTTATTTTGCACCAATTCATAGTATTGACTATTAGACACTTCTTGAAAAATAATCTAAGGCCAATTTGCACCTTTTACCCATTAAATTTTATAATTATAAGAAAGAGACAAGAAATTTTTTTCAAATGCAAATAAATAATACAAACTCCAAAAATTAGTGCAAGAGACCTAAAGTCAAAATCTTTTATGTGAAAAAAAAAAGTTGTTAGGAGTGAAAGATGAAGGAGAAAAAAATGAAAGAGAGAGAAGAAGAAAATTGAGTAGCTGTGAAACACTTATAAAAGTACAAGCATATGCAATAAGAAAAAGAAAATGAAAAAAAATAGCGAAGGAAATATTAAAGATCATGAATATATAAAACTTATAATGTGTTGACTAATTTGTCTGACCAAATGATTTAGGTTATTTTAAAAATAAACTATCCTTAAGTATACTTAATGTAAAGTTTTTGACATGATATCAAGAGCCATTCGATCTAAGATATAAAAAAAACAGAAAAAAAGAAAAAGAAGGAATGAAAGATGGAGAAGAAAAAACAAGAGATTAAAAAGTAAAAACTCATGAGATTGTGTTTAGCAAAAGGAATTAATTTCTCATAATATAGTGAACCAATATTAGAATTCTCATTGGGAGATGTGCTCACATTTAATACTCAAAAGTGAGATTGAAAAAAATACAAACCCAGGAAAAAAGAGGAAGAAAATGAAGAAAAAAATAATAAATGGAATATTAGAGATTATGAATATATAAAGTTTAAGATGTATTTAACCAAATAATTTAAGTTATTTTGATGAAGTATATCATTTTTAAGTATACTTAATATAAAGAAAGGTTGAAAATTTTGAGTTGAGATCATTATCATTATTGAAGCCAAACAAGATTTTCAAATTTATTCTTCAATTTAAGAAATGCTGAATATTAAATTACAATAATAGTGTATACAAGTTGTGAACCTCAAAAAATGAATGAATTTGAAATTTTTTGGTTATTATTGTTATTGATGGCATCTATCTATATATATATATATATATATATATTTTCTATATTTTACTTCGAATTAGAAAAATAAATTGCACACTTCATGATATATAAAAAGTATAATTTATTATAAATTTTACTATATATTTTTATTTTCTATAAACACGGAATGAGTGGATGGCTTTAGAAGCCATGAAATACCTTGTAATTTCATGATCCTCACCTACCCTCATCATGTGCTCAAATAATTGGAATGCCATCATTGACCTTAATTATTTTGTTAATCAATCCATATGATGAAATTAATTTCCCTCACGGATTTTTAGTTACTTATTTATTATTATTCCAAAATCAAATATATCATATCCTTTGGCAAATATTTCCATGTTGTTTAATGATTAGGGTCAAGAAAGTTACTAAAATAATATATCTTTTTTAGGAGCAAGTGATTAATATAATGTCAGATAAGATAGAATATAACATATCAATATTATTTGATAATAGTAAATTGTAGATTTATCTTCTCCATGTCACTAACTTTTGTCTTTGCTCAGTGTCTTTGCTTGTTTAAAGAAGAATAACCTCAGGACATACCTTATTCACTTCTAATCTGTTTAGTCTTCAAAAAGTTCGTCGAATATCACAAAAAATTTATCCCTTCGGGAGGTCTAATAAATTTGGAACGACATAGAGAAAATTTGCATAACCTCTATATAAGAATGACATGCACAAATCAAGAATATAACACAAATTTGCTTACAAGATGAAATGTGCGCTAAATAATATTTGGAAAGAAAATTAAATAGATTGAAGAAAATTAAACATAAGGAGACCAAAGATCTGATACGATCAACTTAATAGCAAAAAAAACAAAAAACAAAAGAAAATCAACTATTGGGCCTGCTATCATTTCCTACAAACTTCTTTTTTTCTTTTTTCTTTTCTTTTTTTTTTAACTCAAGATCCTGATAACCATAAGACTAACCTCTCAAAAACTTTGACAACCATTCAAGAGGTTGTCCTCTTTTCAACTATGTTTTTTTAAGCCTAATATTCATTGTATGTTAAGGTTCAGCCGAAGGGCAAGCCCATATTTTTCTTGTTTGTATGTAGGCCCATTTTTATATCTAGAATGTGTTCACCAGGTAGCCTTCAAGCTTAGTTTAATATGAGGCCTAGTTCCAACAAACTTCATTTTTTTTTATTTACAGTTTTAACCAAGTTCAAATTCATTAAGTTTCAACATAATCTAAGAAAGAAGGTTGAAGACTGAAGTGTTGAACGGGATTTCAAAAAATATATTTATTTTGTTTTTCAGTGAAACCTATCAATTTTTCTAAAAAAAAGTATGTTTCATTCAAAAAGTGTGTTAAATTTATCAAACCAAATTTATATCCTTTTATAGAACATTTTAAAGCAGAGGAAGAAAACATGGATATAAAGAAAGTGCACATAAATTTATCTTGGTTCGGACAAGAAGTGTTCTACATCCAGTTTCCAAGCACAAAGCAATGAATTGTATTATAACAGGCAATTACAAAATTATAAGAGTGCAAAACATCCCTATGAATAGACTTTGGTTTTCATCGATTGCTCCTATAAGACAATCTAACCTTATATGACTCAAAGCTCCACTACAAGGAAACATCACTCATATTCACAACTTTTCTATCCCTATAAAAAAGAAATAAGCAAACAAGACTCATTAAAATAAAAATAACTATGAAATAAGAAAACACATCATGAACGAGCATTATGAGTCTTCAAGTGAGATTGGCATTTTATCTCAGGGCTCCATCTTCAATTGGTACCTTCAACAGTGTCACCTGCAACACATGACCATTGGACAACAACTTCCATATCAGTAATAACTCGGCCTTTGACCAAATCAAACATTTTCCTACGACATTTTCTTGTGTCAAAAGAATAAAATGTAATTGTAACTCAGCCTACAATATTTCAGGAATGATGTTGAAGCCCCACCCAATGATCAAACTAATTAAAATAACGAATCCGATGTCCTGTTATATTAACAGTGATTTCAGCCCAATAAAGCAATGGTAGAGACTACTATTTAGATAACATAGTATAAAGTTCTGTGGCTTCATCAAAGCTGAAATCAATTTGTGTTTTTGGCAGACTAACAAAGCGTTTAAAGCTTTAAGAGCATATTGCTGAATACAAACGGTTCTCTTTTACCTGTCTTGTTTTCATTTGGTGTAAGTGTGAACAAGTTGGAGAACCAATGATGTCTTAAGGATGCACATGCAGAGGGGAAAAAGAGATCTCAATGACCCTAACTTGCTTTGAATGTGCAAATCACCCTAACTTTGTCTGTAGAAGTATGTGCCTGCATTGAAGAAAAAGTTCTTAGAGGATAACAAAATAATTTGGAACCTCAAAGTTGAAAGAAACTGGAATATAGAAAATAATAAAACAGAAAGCAATGAACAATATGGGAAAAAAATGAATTTTGAGGAGTGGATTTTACAATCACATCGACTCTTTTAGGCATTGTATATAGTAAAATTATATGAATGCATTCGAAATGCGTAAATCCATCCAGCTGCACAGAACTAATTTAAAGGCCATAAAAGTAAGTTAGCAAATGGAAGTAATCGTAACGGAGTGAAATTAAAATGTACTTCATTACGAAAAGGAATGGAAATGGAACATGTTGAGGAATTCAAATTAAAAATTCAAAACTGAAGGTCAAACAGATGTGTATGGCATGTAATTGAACAATAAGTAAGACCAGTTATAGGATGGATTACCTTTGGATGGATATTGAAGGATCAGATCTTGCGGAGTGAAGCCCATATATTAGGGATGTGAGCAATTTTGGGCCATTCTGCACCTCTTCCTCTCTCACATTTTTTTTTTTTAAATGTGGAGATAAGAAGATTTCTAGTGTTTGTAAATTAGTAAGGCGATGCATTCCTTCAGGCAATGACTCCAAATTTGGACAATTTTTAATGGCAATAGATTGAAGTGATTGGAGATGGCAGATCCACTCTGGTAAAGCCTTGAAATTTTCATCACACATGAAGATTTTAAGATCGCAAAAAGAATGGAGGCAACGAAGGGCTTGGTGCTGTGAGCTAAAATCTTCATCTCCACTCCATGGATCACGGTTGTCAATGTGCCAAATTTCGAACTCTTCAAGTGTAGCAGGAAGATATCACATAAACATAGTTACTAGACCTGATAGACTTCCAACACGAAGATGCTTGAGAGAGGTTAGATTTTGCATCCACTCCTCCGGCAAACCTTCTATGTCCTTGCCATCAATCCCCAATTCCTCAAGCTTAGAAAGAGGTGGATGTAATTCTTTTGTTGTGGACGACCCACTTTGAGCTTACCTTTGCCGTGTCTATCAATGGCTTCATGTTACAATCACCTAAAAACCACAACTTCACAAGACTTGGAGGTGTAGGCATGCAATCCAAATTGGGACAATGGCTGATTTTTAAATATGAAAGACGAGGAAATGGAGGCAGCCGAAGTTGTTTCTCATCATCTATTCTATTATTTGCATCTGCCTTCCATTGCCATCCCCTCAAAATTTTACAAGAATCAACGGTTAAATTTTCCAAAGATGGGAAGAAGTTAGTTGATGAGGAACATCCTTCATAGTATATGTACTCTAGTGCATCCATGGACCTCATATTAAGATCCTTGAGAGAAACGAGTCCTTCTAACGGGGGCAATGACTGACAGTTTGGACAATCAGAAAGATCTAACGCAACAAGATTTGTGAGTGAAGCAAGCCAACTTGACAACGTCACTCCTGGGTAGCGCTCGATTTCCAATCGTTTCAAATTTGGATGAGGACAAAGGTTTTCTAAAACTTGAAAACTATCACTACTTGTGTGATTTCCACTGCATATGAGTGACAATGACCTCAAGTTTTTCTTTGCTTTCAGATTGGCATTCTTGGAGTCTTCAACATCCATTACTAAATCCAGATTTCGAATAACTAATTCATGTCTGAGATTGAGTTCTTTCAATTCCTTCAGTTTTGCATGCTTTCCCTCCTTATATGATTGGTCCCCCACAACGAAACTCGAGAGTCTTTGTAGATTTGTTAATCGGCCTAACCCAATTGGCATTCCATATGAAAAGGCCCGACAACCTTCAACGTGAAGATGACGCAAGTTGATCATTTTTGTGACAACATCTATAGAAGAAGGTTCAAGCAAGCTCCGACAACCAGTCAATTTGAGCGTCTGTAAGTTGACTAGGTTGCTTAAACTTTTGGGCAACTTGGTCAATTTTTCACAATCAGAGAGATCAAGATATCTTAAGTGTATCATTTTACCAATTGAATCAGGCAAATCTGTCATATTCATTCTTGACAAATCCAAACTACGCAAACATCTGAACTTTAATAGCATGGATAGATCACTTTTTGAAACATAGCGTAGACGAAGAATGGTTCGCAGTCTACTTATATCCGATGAATCTAAAGAAAGTTTGGAGCGATATGCAAAATTGATATGCACCGGGCTGGCAAAAAAATTTCTCCCATCATAAAAACAACAATCGGAGCCAGCATCTAATTGTGATAGGTCATGCATTAAGTCATGCATTTTAAAATATTTTATTTCACCATACTCATTCATCAAAATATCTTGAAAGAAACACCTCATTGTCAAAATTTGAACATATCGCTCACCAACATCTTCTAGACATTCATCATCATCATGACATCCAAGGTAGCCTTGCGCCATCCATTGCTCAATCAACTTATCCTTATCGTATCTCCTGTCTTTTGGATACAAAGAACAATAAGCAAAGCATTGTCTCAATTCAAATGGCAAGTGATCATAGCTTAGTCGTAGTATTGGCATGACTGGATCATTACTTATAGACAACTTCCGAAAGTCACATTCTAAGATCCTTTCCCACTCAATTCGCTCTGTCTGTTGTAATTGCAATAGACTTCCCATGGCTCTTATTGCTAGTGGAATTCCTCCACATTTGTCAACAAGTTTTTGACCGAGAGACTCAATGTTCTGGGAAGTTACCCTATTCGATCCAAATGCCAATCTTTTTAACAAAGTCCATGACTGATCCCTTGTCAAACCTTTTAACTTATATGGGATTTCCACACCCATTGTTCTTGCCACCATCTGATCACGGGTGGTCACTAAAATCTTGCTACCAGGAGCTCCGCACATCAAATATCTTTTTAAATCTGACCACTTATGGGGATCCTGATTCCACACATCATCTAAGACAAGCAAATATTTTTTGCCATTCAGATCCTTCTGAAGTTTATCCTGAAGAAGTTCCAGTTGTTGGTCGTCCGCTTTTTGACCAATGGACGATTCTAATATATTTCGAACAAGTGTTCTAACAGTAAAGTCATCCGAAACACACACCCATATTGTCTTATTGAAAAATTCCTTTACTTCATCATCATTGTATACGAGCTGGGCAAGAGCAGTCTTTCCTAAGCCCCCAAAGCCGACAACAGCAATTGGGGAAACATTTTGAATGCCATCAGGATTCAGCAACAAATCTATAACCTCCCTTCTGCTTTCCTCCCTCCCAATGATCTCATCCTGAAGCACAACAGAACTTGTTTCCCTCCACTTACTCCCCTCAGAACTCATCACTACAACTCTTCTATCAAAATTCAACCTAGACATCTCTCCTGCGATAGCATCAAATCGCTCTCTGATCTTTTTAATCTTATGAGCAACTTTGAGACGAAAAGCAATCGGATTTGAGGATGAGAAGAAGTCACGTACCTTTCCCTTTCCCTTAGCTTTTCCATCTCTCTTGCAGATTAAATCTCTAGAGTGTAGTTCATCGAGCAAGTCATCTGCTTCGAAAAGCACTTGTCTGAGCCTCCTCAACCACAGCTTGATGGGCTGGTCATTCTGCTGCTTTTGCTCAGCATCAACAAGCACAGCTTTGATGGCTTCAACAGTGTCTCTGAGCCTTTCAATCTCAGTCTTCACCCCATAAATCATTGCAATCTCTCTGAAGGCTAATGAACCCAACCTGTTGATGACCTCACAATCACGCCGTAAGGAATTTGTTCAGCCATTTTTTCTGAGCAAAGGAAGCGACTGTCTTGAGAAAATCGTAGAGAGAGAGAGATTTGTGTATCACAAGATGGAGCAAATAGCAAGAATGGTGTGACTAAATAGATGAGAGAGGGCCACAGAAAAAGAGCAACGCGTTAAACTTTTGTTGACCCTGTTCATATGAACTCATGGAACCCGAGGAAGCTTCTTTGAAAGAACGGACAGTTTCTTCCTTTCTTGTTTGCTGCCCCACATGGAAATATACTTGAAGATCAAAGTGATTTGGAAATTATCCTCTACTTGATTAATTATTAAAACAAAGTGAGATATAAATATAATCATAAAAAATATTTCAATCACCTTTTCTGGACAACATAAGTTGAGGTAAATGCAACATTTAAGTGGAAGCATTAATGGATTGACAGAGAGATTAATCATTTAAGGATGAATTTTCCGAAGATATGTATGGAAATACGATTATTTATAGTATAAAATATTTAAAAATTTTCTTGTCTGCTATATTTATATATTAAATAATAATATTAAATAAAAAATATATTTATATGCTTAACCTTAATGTCCTGTCAAATTAAGCTACACAGATTTTTTATACTCTTTCTGTTTAAAAATATAACGTATTTTTAATTGAATCTCACCCCCTAATAAAGTAAATATCTACTTTTAAAATAACTTTATCTTTTCATATTAACTCTTATTAAATACCTTATAATAAATATAAAGTCACTATTAATAAAGGCACTTTTAAAAAAAAGTAATGATTATATCTTAAAAGATTAAAAATGCCTTACATTTTTTAACATTCAACTTCTCAAAAAATGCCTTATATTTTCGAACAGAAAAAGTATATATTATGTATTTTACAACAAATTTTTATTAATAATATTTTAATATCTTAGATTCCTGTTCTTTTGATTGGATCATGTGAAAACATATTAAGTGTATAATATGAGATACGTAATTATTTTTTAAAAAATCAATTTCTTTAAATAACCATTCCAAAATAATTATTTGGTATTAATTGATTAACATGCAAATTAAAATATAGTGCAAGTTAATGAATTTGACGGCATTTCTTTTTTTTTTTTTGAGTAATAAATGACAGATTGCTTGTGTATCCAAAAGATCGGATGTTTGGTCAATGGATCCCTGTCACCTCACTTGTTTAGGTCTTTCAGCTTAATTCCATGAAGAATCACAACTCTTGAGTTGAGGTAGCATCGTACGTAAGACGTGTATTTAAGGAAGAAAAAGCGCCTATGCTCAGGCTGCTTTGTGGAAGGTGCATAATGTGATTCAATTATTGTTTTTGCTATTTTCTTCAAAGAAAAAAAAATTAAATTCATTAAGCCACCAAAGTTTATAGTACAAGAACAAAGAATTAATAAAAATAAAACAGGCAGAAAACAAATCTAGAGATTAAAGGTTTGGAAACCAAAATCCTAATAAGGCACAATCCCTATTTAACAAATTAAATACTTAATTAGCTCCTCCGATACTAGCTAAGCTACTCCATCGTTCGTTAAGTAACAAGATACAAGAAGATTTGAATCTAGTGGATGACACTAATTTACCCACCCAATAACTATTCCGCGTAGCAATTGTGCATGACTTTATTGGTCTCTTAAGTTTGTTATTTAAAAAGAAAATATTATTATTAAAATTTACTAATATAGATAGACAACACTCAAGCAGATTAACTTAATGAGAATTAATTTGCATTTTAAAAATTAAAGAATTTACATAATAATTTTAAAAAATATAAGAGACCAAATCAATAAAAATTAAATTTAAAAGATCAATTTAATAATTGAGATAAACTTAAAGCATTAAAAATTTCTTTTAACATTCCTTAGCACTAAGTCAAAATTTTTTCCTAACAAAAAAGTCAAAGTTTGTTGACCAATATTAATTAGGAAAAATTAATCTGCAAGTCCTTATAATTTTTGTCAATTTTAAATTAGATCCCTGTAATATATTTTATTTTAATCAAGTCTTTATAGTTTGATCTATCAAATATGTTAATCTTTAAAAGTTAAAATTATTAATGAATTATTAAATTTCCAAATAAAAACACTTTTGGAGTTTATATAAAATTTAATTCAATATTTTTAGCCAAAAACAAAAAAAAAAAATTGATTTAATACAATATTTATATTTTTATTATTTTTATAAAAAATTTATAAGCATAAAAAATTTTTAAAAGATAACGTAACTATATAAATTTGAGTTATAAAAAGTAAGTATTTAATTCTAAAGTATATAGTAATAAAAAATAAAAGTTCTTAATTTAGTTTTTCTAAAAAAAATCCTTCTTAAAAATTTAATTAACAAATTATAAAAAATTAATTAAAATTAAAAAACTGTAAAGATTTAATTTTAAATTAAAAAATATAAGGATTTATAAATATATTTTTTCTATTAACTAAGTTATCAATTATCATCACATATCAAGTCTAATCCCAACCCTCCTATACCAGATTGTTTTATCAAAAATGATTTCACAATTATCTCAACAATAACTTTTATATTTGTATTAACGTGGTTGCAAATTGTAGAGCTTAAAATTTTAAGATAAATTAATTCAATTTTTTTAACTAATTTAACTAAGTACCCCTTGATTATACTACGTTAAAATTAAAATCAGAGCTACGAACTAAAAGTCAAAAAGAAAAGACCAATCATGTCCATGACTTTTTGAAACTGAATGGAGAAAAAAAAAAACAGATAAAGAATTGGTAAAGAATTTATATCTATATCTATAATCTATATCCATAATGTAAAATCATCAAGCGGGTACTAGAGACGTGACCTTTTTAAAAAAAAAAAGTTATTGTCAGTTTTTTCTTTTTTTTATTTCTTATTATTACGGATGGGTACTGCAACTTTTTAAAAAAAAAAGTTTGTTAATTTTTTAATGTTTTATAATAAATAAATAAAAAGAATAAAGTGGGTCATGTAGTAAAAGAGATATATGTGGGATATATAGTTAAAAATGAGTAAAATATATTTTTTACTTTTATCTTAATTAATGATACTTCTCTTATATTTTTTGAAACTATATAAATATTTTTTAGTATGAATAGTTATAAAATACAAATCTTTCTTTTATTTTTAAGATTCTATATTTAATCCATCTAATCATTAGTTGACTATTAAGTCACATATATTAAACTAAAATACACCTATTTAAACATAAATGTTGCCTAAAAATCATTTAAATTACCAAAAACATAATTTTTATTATCTAATTGTATTTATTTTGTAACTTTTTAAAAATTAAATATATAAATGGGTCAAAAAAATATATTCAAAGATGCAGTTTATGAACTCAATAAAGAGAAAAATAAAATAAAATTATTTAGAGTAGTTAAGCTAGCTTAAATAAATCTGAAAGCTAGAGGCTTCAAGAGTCAAGCTCAATTATAAATTTTTTATATGTAAGACCTAAAAAAGATTAAATTGTAATATAAAACTTATAATTAAAAATAAATAAAATATTTTGACATTCCCTTTGTTTTATCTTAATTAATGATACATGTCTTCTATTTTTGAAAACCTATATAAACATTTTTTTTAATATAGATAGTTATAAAGTACAAGCCTTCTTTCTATTTTTAAGATTTTATTTTCATTCACCTAACCATTAGTTGACCATTAAGTCATATGTGTTGAAATAAAATGCTCATATTTAAATATAATATTATCAAAAAATTATTTAAATTATCAAAAAAAATAATTTTGTAACTTTTTTAAAATGTTAAATATATAAGTTGGCCAAAAAAAAAATTCATAAACACAGTTTGTGGACTCAATAAAGAGAAAAATAAAATGAAATAATTTTTAAAAATTTAGGGTAGTTAAATTAGCCTAAATAAATTTAAAAGTTAGAGTTGTAAAAGTTGGGCTCGGTTATAGATTCTTTTATATATTTTAAAATTGATATAAATTGAGGATCTAATGGGAATGGGGAGAATGTAAAATTTTAATAAACTTAATTTTTTAAAAAATTGAAGTAGTGTGGTTTAAAGAAGTGATATGTGAACTTACAGCTAAAAAAATGTGAGTGGGGGCATATAATTTTAAAAATTTAGACAAGGTATAAGATATAATAATATTTTTTATTTTAAAAGATCATGGTAAAAATAATAAGTGTTAGATATGTAAAGAAATTTTTAATAATAAAAAAGTAGGCAACAGACCTATAATTTAATTAATAAATTTAAATTAGTAATTATTTTAAAAAATAATTTCTTAAAATTAGTTAATGGATGATTTTGTTAAAGAAATAAATAGTATAGTTACAGGACTTGATAAAATAGTAAATGTATGATCTATCATTAAAAAATGTAAGTGTGGGACTAACAATTATTCAAGTTAAAAATTTAAACAATGTATAAAAAAATGAAGATTTTTATATCTTGAAAAATCATGTAGAATTCATGGTAAAAATTGATGGTGAATATAAATTTTTAATAAAAATAATATGTATTTGATATGCAAAGAATTACCAATGATAAAGAAAATAACTGTGGGACCGATAATTTATATAGGATTTATAATAAAAATTATATGTGAATATAAGATTCTTAATAAAAATAAAAGGTGTTAGATATGTAACAAAATTTCAATAAACATAAATACAAATTATATTAACTAATTTATGTCTTATTTCATTATTTTTTTATACCTACGTGTTTGAAATATTATTTTAATAAAATTACTTATTTATTTAAAAATATAAAATATTTTTTTAAGGGTTATTTCTTAGGGTTTGGATTTTAAAAAACATAAGATATTTTTAATTTTAAAGGTATAAATATTTTATAGTTAAATACCCAATTAAATAGTAAATATACAAAGATAGTTTAATTTAAAAATAAATAACTACTTTATTAGGAGATAAAATTTAATTAAAATAAATTATATCTTATTCTTGTACATTGCGTAGGTTGTAAATTTTAAAATAAAATATTCTACTAAATTGTTGATATGGACAGAAAATTATAAAAAATATAAATTACAAGAAAAATTCTTAAATAAACTCATCTTTTATATAATATTTTTTAACTTTTACAAACAGTACAATTTAACTCTTGATGTT